GGGGGGGGAAGGTATTCATGAAATGGAAAATAAATAAAAACATCAAAGCTTCGGGATAAAAAAATAAAAGTGAGAAATAGGTTGATACCTACGTGTAGGTGCTGAATCAAATTAGGGGTAGGAAGAGGAAGAGTAAGATGAAGAGTAAGAAGAAAAGAAAGAAGGTGAAGAAGAGAAAGAATGAGATTAGGAGAGAGAAGAAAGAACCACTGAGCAACAGGGCTCTAACAGATCACATGATTAATGAGATTTACAGACGCACGTGTAAGCGATTACAACTTTATACGTCACCAATGAAGGGTCATAACTGCTCTGATTTTGGTGAGGAAGTAGATGTCCATTTACATTCATTTAATATGCCATCCACAGTCACTTGACTTATTTGCAAACAGGTTACCACGTCAAGGCGATCTTTTTTCAATTTTCAGTTTTGTTTAAATTACTTTTAAAGTTTATCAACATGGATTTATCGAAGAATTCTTAGAGATCCAACTTCTCTTTACACAATAAAGTTTCCAGCTCTGTTCTTCGTCTCGCCCCCTTATCTCTAATTCCACTTTATCTTCAGAGGTTGGTCATTTCGCCAAATTCTATTGACTCCCTAAGTCTCCATTATTTGCAGAAAGTATTATTTCATTTTTCCACTGCTATCTGATATCCTACATTTGTCTAGCTTCGAATCGTACGAATTTCTTATTATAAATCTCTGCAGGGGGTTTGCGTTCAGATAACCATTTCTTTCTGCATCGACATGACTACTCACATCGATTCTTCTACATGTGTGTGGCACAATTTTGTGAAGGATGGTTTCTTGTTTTCACAATAACCTCCTGGATAAGACAGAAGAAAGCTCAGCACGGATTCGTCAAGGTCAGAGGATGGTGCGCTGACTTTTTCTCAGGTCAAATATTCAGTCTTTCGTTTTCAGGCAATTTACTGATCCCTTCAATTCATGTTTTCTTGAAAAAAGGAAAGTCATAAGTATCTGAAATAGTTATAAGCTTCTTTGTAATTCATCTTCCAATCATACAATTGCCATTTTATAGCTGGCTAGACGTAAATTAAACAAACAGGACAGAACCAATTACAATCATCAACTTGTGTCACCGAATTTGTATATGGAAAGAGAAACTGCTTTTCGAAGAACTACAAGATACATTAAGGTTTTCACATCTTTGATTTAGTTTCGGAATGGAGGTGAAAGGGCTTCTTTATTTGGTCTTGCCCAAAACGTCTTGGAGTCTTGACTATGGAATTTTGAGAAGAGGTCCTCGGCTAAGGTCGTCCAGCCAAAACCGTAGCCCCTTCACACGTCATCAACAGCCACTTACTTATCCTCAACTAAGTATGAATAATGTGAGGAGCGGTGTGCCGTTAACTTCTTTGCTTCAATCCATGATCACAACTCCAAATTAGCTCCTTTTCGCTTTCCGAAAGAGGTAAAGCGTAAAGACAGTTAAATTCAGACTAATTAAGGCCAAATTGGCATTCACTTTAAAGAAATCTTGTGCTAAATATATCTTTTTTCATAACGCAATCCACACAATTTATACCAATGTTGACTCGCAGAAACCTGAATAACTTCACTTCCTTTGGCTTAAATAACTAGTGATTTAGTGCGATAGGGTCTGCATAGTCACTAAAAGTTATTATTTCACTCCAGAAATCAAACATCCGCTACAGAGTATCCACTTTATCTGAATAAACCAGTCATTTGAGCATTCCATTAATGCTTATTCGACACTGGATTCTGGACACACATCTTAAACTCATCCAATTTAACCGATTTGAATAACATATGACATTATTTTGTATGAATTACAGTTTGAATTTTTACCTTGATTAACACAGGCCGATGCGGCCGCAAAAGTTTCCAATCTCAGGGATAATTTGGACAATCTGGAGCTCCTGGACCTCAACTACAGAATGTTTTCTGATTGGATTATCACCTCTGATTGGATTATAGAGGGTTTGAAGGATGTCCTCTTCGACTATGCCATGCCTCTGGCCGACGAGAACAGAATGACTTCTTCCAAGGTTTATATGCTGCGACTTGGGCAACTTCTGCCAGACGGAGGTGAGATTTTGATATGTTGTTATAATATATATATATATATATCGTGATATATTGCCATGCTGTGATAACTACTAAGGTCTATTTATTTACTGCCTATTTTACAGAACTTCCAGAGTTTCTTCAAAAGACTTATGCGCACATCTCCCTATCCAGATTATCTAACAAAGGAGCTGATTCTTTTCGGAATTTTCTGGATACTCAGGAGGGCAGACTCATGTCGGTGGTTGACAAGGCACATCGTTTGAAGCATTATCATTCTTTACGCAACCTTGTAAGCTCAAATGTATTATCGGATCGTTAAATAGGTAGAGCCTTCAATAAAGCTAAGAAACAAGAGGAGAAGTTTAGCTTCTAATAATCTTTTAATAAATGGGTATCTTTATTTTTCATTTGTAAGTAGGTTTTCCAGATTACTAGTTGATCATTTGTTTGAGATGTATTCACCCTATTTCATCCAAGGCGATTATGACAGGTGGCTGAATTTTTATGCAATGCTATGAGTAGACCTTAATTGCCTTCATTGAATTTCACATAGTTTTGCTTTCCAAAAGGTATTCTCATCCAGGCTGGAGTGCAGTTTTGAATGAATATTTGATGTGCTGATAGTCTTGAAAATGTACATAAAAACGAAAAATAAGTATTCGTCGATTGCTATAGCAAATAAAGCTTTGATTCAGAATGTATTATATGGGAAATTGACTGGCCTTTCCTGAAAATCACATATACCCTGTGAACAACTTACACTTGTGGAAATGTGGCGAAGTAGTTGACGTGCCGAGACTATGCGCTATATGGCCATGGTTCGAGTCCCGCTGAGAATGCTGATGAGACCTAGACGAGGTCCAAACTATAGTCCACTCTTGTCTGGATAAGAATACCTTTGGAGGAAGCAAGACTATGAGAAGTTCAATGGAAGCGTAAGGTCTACTCATATCATTGTGGGGAAATTCAACTACCAGTCCTGTATCGCCTTACACGCGAAATAGGTTAAACACACCTCATTTACTATCTTTAGCCTTTTGCTTTCATTATAAAAGGCAGATGGACGGGATTCGTAAATTGTAATTACCAGGAGCCGAAGGAAGATTAACTTGGAACTATGGATGAGGATTTGTGCTCCACTCTTCGGACACAATGAATTCATCATATTTGGGACCTCATAAAAATCCTTCGTCGGTTTTCGGTGAGGCCAATTTAAGGGAAATTTCATACACAAAGATTTGGATTTGGGAGTTAAAAATGAATTCGGCATAGCCCCTTGATGGCGATTTAAGATAATACAACTGGTGTCTTTATTTGAGTTAAAAGTTGGGAGAATCGTCATCAAAGGGAGAAGGCTTGATTAGCTTAAAATCTGGTTGTGTTTTCACGCTTCATGTATGCATTCACAAATACCTCCACATCTCATATCTGCAAGCATTTAGGAAAACATGAAATAACCAACCAAATTTTGTGATGTTTTCTAAGTGGATAAATTTTGGCCTTAAGAAGTGTGAATTATTGCAGCCAGCTACATTACTTGTCTGAATAAGGTGTAAAGTTTTTCCAAAGTATGGTTTAATGTCCTGTAAAAAAATGCCCAGTACGGATGGATTGGGATTGAAGACGCCACGTCTAGGTCCTCTTCAAACGATTCAATAATTACGCTTCCAAGGCAATTCTTCGGTTTCGTTTGAGGTCAACTTCTATTTTGAAATCGAATTACTCTGTGGATTCTTTTCTTCATATAAGCGCAGAGCATAATTTGAAACACTAAAGCCATCTGATGTGATTATTCCCATTTCTAATTTCTGCAGTGGGATTGCCGATGGAGCAAAGTTGTGTTTGCTATTACAATAAACTACATTACTTATTTTGCTTTTTAAATAGGATTTCGAGACCGCCAATAAATCTTAAATAAGAGCTGTACTCAACCCATTTTGTTTGAGGATATGAAGGAATGGTAGTTGAATTTTCTCACATAGATTGTGAAACCTATTTGTATAATTGTTGGACAATTTTTACTACCAGTCTTTCATTAAAAAAATAGAGTGAATATACTTATTAATCAACTTACAACTGCAATAGGGTTTTGTTTATATGTAGGTTCTCGAGAGTACCAGTAGATCATATATATGAGGTGTATTCATTTTTCGTTTATAAGCAGAGTTTCGAGACTATCAGTAAGGGAGTTACATGAGGTGTATTCACTCTATTTCGTATAAAGTGATAAAGGCTTGGTAATTGAATTTTTCCACAATGATAAGAGTTGAGCTGACGTTTTCATTGAATTTCATACAGTCTTGC